TGCTGAAAGCCTTAACTTCTTGCAGTCCCTCCCTGACTCGAGGGTATGTCAGGTTGTGCTTTTAGCTTTGCATATAGATGTGCACACATACCCCCAGTGTTCTTATCCTGCCATGACTGTGCTGACGTTTTCATACAGTGCTGGGAGCCCTGCATTGCTGATACACGGATTCAAGGGCGTTGAATGTCAAAGATTTTTCTAAAGCTGTTAAGTGTGTTATAGCTTAAAGCCATGCTTTAACATGCAGAATTATCCTGCTGTGCTTTGAGAAACTACAACTTAAACCTTTATGTTATGCTTGAATAAGTCAGCCTGTCAGAGGTCATTGTTTTTTGCAATTTGTGTATGTTACATCAGATAATGGCAAGACCTCTACAGTAGTGACTGGTTCAGAACAACCTATTAATACTCTCTGTTAAAGGAAGCTCTCCAATGGTTATGAATGCTCCAGAAGAGTATTTTCTCCCTGTGTGTTTGCCAGAAGGCCATTATTATTAGAGTACGTCGTGCTTTTGATATACATGTGTTTCCATGGTGTTGAGTAATTCTAGTTATTGAGACTGGGAGGACTCTTGACACTGTTTCCAGCCAACTACTAGATGCGATCTTTTTAAGCTGTATCTTGTACCCTCATCCTTTTTCACTGCTGGCTGAAGATTAGGCAAAGTTGCATCTCTGATTAAAAGATACTCCATTGAAAGCAGGAAGACTTCTGCTAGTGTATACACAAATGAAAAAATAAAACCCTAGGTTGCCTTTCTTCAACTAAAATTGGGAAGAATCGTTATCGCTGCTATTGTGAACTAGATATTTTTGAAAGAGTTCTCTGTTGGCATAATTAGAGCGCACTTGGGTGTAACTTCAGGTTCTTGTGCACATGCTCAGGGTCGCATCTGCTGATGGACTTTCCCTTTTTTTAAAATTACTGTTAACATTTATTTTTATTTAAATCATCAGTGTTCTCTACTTAATAAATCCATACCTACAGTTTCACTTCACTACTTACTTTGTTTTAGTCTCCTTGTTGGTTGTAAATTGGAAATGCTGACTTTAAATCAAATACAACCTCTGTGCTATATATGGTAGTTTTGTTTATATATAAATAAAAATCTGGCTATAGAAGTGCATTGAAGTTAAAGCAATACTTTTTAAATTTACCTGGTGACATTTTGCTTTGTTCAGAGTTGAGCTGCAGTGTTGTGGACATTTGAATTCTGATGTGTATGGTCTTGATACTTAACATATTACAGTCGGGTGTGTTAGATGCTTTGGATGTTTTGCCAATGAGGATTTTTTTTCTGGGGGGTGTAAATTTACAGTGGAGTTATACCCACACCCAAGAAATGTTATTGGAAATACTGATGTACCAGGTAGATGGAGACAGAGTTGGCAAGGTAGAAATTTTTTTGTGAATCTCAGAATGTGGCATCATCTGTGAAATGGAAATACTTGGGTATATTTGTATGCCATTTTCCTTTCATACAGATACCTTCAGACCTTCTGGATAAGGAATTTCTGCCTATTTTACAAGAGGAGCCCCTGCCACCACTGGCACTTGTACCTTTTACAGAAGAAGAACAGGTTTGTATCCTTGGCGGGGGGAGCGGGGAAATCTATATTATCACTAGTGTAAAGGCAAAATAAAGAGTACACCTCCATTAAAAAAACAAAATTTGAGATTAGTAGATTTTGGGAAAGAAATTATGAAAGTATACTGTGTTTGCATGAAGTTTAAATTCCATTCATGCTCTTAAATTTGAACAAATATTTTTCATATGATGTTCTGTTGATGGCGGACAGTCAACTTGTTAAATCCAGGGTCATCTTCTGGGAAGTACTACCTTTTTTTTTAAGTACACAGCATTCTCAGGTCAGTGACACTTCTACAGTTTTTTGGACCGCCTTCTCTGTTCTTATAGAAGAATACAATAAGTCTTAAGTTCTGTAACTTCAGTTTTGTGGTCTTTGGAGAAGTGTTGAAGTTTTTTTGACTTGTAACATTTCTTAGGAAGGTGCAGTACTCTTAACTGCTTTGTATGTAAGCAGTTGCGTGATTATTTCCTTGTTTAGTCTCTATAGGTATATAATTAATTGGTGAACAAGATAAGAGTGAGAACGGGTAGGCCACAAAGATTCAATCTCAAAGGTGACTGATCTGAGTAGTTTGAAAGCCCTTGCTTTAAATTCTACTCCTAAGCAGAGAAAACTGTCTGCCCCCCTCTGGATAAATGCCTCTGACTTTTGACTCTGAATTGATTCCCTCTTTATGGCTGTCAGAAGTTCTGATTTTGTAATTGCTCTCTGGTTTGTCATGTTTCTTAGCACTTTTCTTACTTCAGAATACTGTGGTTTGATTTGGTTCTTTTGTTTCTTTTCTAATAGAAAACCAAGTATCTTTACGGACTTGAGTGTAATTTTTTTCAGGGGTGGCAAGTGTTAGTATTAGTTCCTTAAGATTTCAGAGCATCCTCCTTCCTTTTCCCCTTGCTATTGTATTCTTCAATTTTTCATAATCTTTTTGTGCCTGGATATACTGGCATATCCTTTTCACCTCCTTTGGGATTCCTTCCTCTTCAGAGTTGATTCATATAAACTTCACTTAGCCCAGTTCCCAGTCTCCAGTGGGAACAGGAGGGATTCAGGCAGCAAGCCCCGGAAATGATCAGCCAGGTACACAGTAGCATACCAGTCATTTTCCTGGTGGTAAGAATTGTGAGCTAACCTAGAGCTTAACTGATTCACCTTGTTGTAAGTTTTGTTATATGACATCATAGATTTGTCGAAGATCTGTTTGCAGGGAGCTGTCTTTTGAAGAAAAGAATGTTTCTGCAGATAGCTTTAAAAGAGGTTTCTACCACTGACAACTGGCAGTATGCAGCATATGTTCCTTTGCCTTCCCCCGCTGCCCTTATTCCTTATTTGCGTTAAGAAAGAATTCTTAATCTTATCTGTTTGTGGAGTAAGGGAGTCTCAAGCCTTCCTGAATATAATGGAGATTTTTTTTTTTCTGTGTGTCCTCATTGGCTATGTTTCTGATGTCTGTTTCTTAGGACATCTTCCATTTACTACTAAAGAATTAACTGAGCCCCAGTTTTGGGTTGGGTTTGCTCTTTGGTGTGCATTCTCAGGGATGGACACCGAAGGAATATACTAATCAATAGTAGGGTGTTTTTTGCTTTTTTGTTACTTATTTTGATCTTACCATGTGGTTTATTATCACTATGCACATTGCAAGGATTGCATCTTCACCACAGCAAGCTCTACAGAAGGGAGGGAGAATTTGTTCAGAGTTTAGGCAGACAAGCCAAATTAAAAAAATTGGAAAAGAAAGTGAGATTACTATTTTGTTCTTATTGGAAAAATAAGGCACCAAAAATCAAGGAATTTCCTGTGGAATCTGATCAGTAGCTTAAAGTTGTTTCTGTAGTAAAATATTTCACTGCTTCACAGAAAAGAAATATCAACAGCAGGAAAACTGGTGATTTGCATAGAGGCAAATGGAGGTGGCTCATTTTGACTTGCTATTGAAATGGTTGCTTTAAACTTGAAGAGCTCGCTAGGAAAATAGAACCAGATTTACTGGAGGCTGACCTTGCTATTTTGCCATGTGTGACTGCATGATTTTTTTTTACCCCCTCAATTCTACTTGGTTACTAATATCTCTCTTGAAGAAAGATCTACTTTGTACGAAGAACATACCAAGCAGTTAGGCTTGTTTCCAAAATGGGTTAAAACTCCTTCAGCTGTCTGTTGGCTTTGATGCTAGCCATTTAGATTTTAACTAATACACAATTGCTTGTCTCGTTGTTCTCTGAAGACTTTCAAAGTCATAGTAATTCAGATGAGTTCACATAAGCAATTTGCCTCTTTTAAGTTCCTATCAAGAAGTGTCATGTAACAGCTGTTTGGAACCCTTTGCATTCTAATTATTTAAAACTTGTATTCAGAAAGTGTGTGTGAATTCAGGTTTGCTTGTTAGTGTTTCTGAACATGCTCTGGAGTTCTTTGGCCCAGTTTTCGAACTATTTGTGCTCAGAGAATGGGGCCAGAGTTGGTTATAATTATCCATTCTTTATTGAAATAACTTTTTCTTTAGCAATTCTTTCATATTAAAAATAAAGTTGAATTTTGCTGGTATTTATTGTCTTATTAAAATGAGTATCACTTAAATTTCAGAAGTCTTAAATACAGTTAGTTTTCCCCAAAGCATGTTACTGCTGTGATACATTTAGAGAAAAAGACTTATTTCTGCAAAGGAGATTGGTAAATATAGTTTTATTCAAGTTCAGTTGCTCTTTACATGTTCCTGCTTTTGTTTAAGAAGTAAGTTTAGAATAGGTATTAATGGAGTTGGATATAGATAGGTGCCAATCTTTTTGCAACTGAATGGCTGTGTTTAAAGCTGCTGATGTTCTAATCAATTCTGTGCTGGAATCATATGATGAAAGAGTAAGTGCTCACTTGCTACCTTTAGAGCATGGAAATTTCAGGTAAGTAACTTGGAAAAACTAATATTGACCAACATCCATTTACAGACTGCTTCAGCTACTCATGTTTCCAAGGAATCATTTTCCTTGTTAGTCAGTTTTAGAGAATTTGTAATGAACATAAGGAAAGCAAAGCTCATATTAAGCTAAATTTAGGATATGGTAAGTGTTTCTGGTTTTGTTTTTTAATAGAATCTCACAGTGGCTCTTTCTTCTTCTTGGCAGAGAAATTTCTCGATGTCTGTAAACAGTGCTGCTGTCCTGCGGTTGACGGGACGTGGAGGAGGAACGGTGGTAGGGGCTCCTCGAGGTCGAAGTTCCTCTAGAGGTCGAGGTGAGCTGTTAGTTGGATGTGCTGCAGTGTATGCAGGTGATCCAGGTTAAATCTCCTGAAAGATGTTAGATGGAGCTTGGTTAGAGCCAGGTTTTTTCATGCTCAGTTTCTTTTCCCTTAACACTTTGAAACCATTCCAGTAAGGTGAGAGAATGAATGTTGTGTGTAGTGATTGTTCTGCACACCTTAGTGCACATCAGGTACCTATGTTACATGCCTTTGTCAGACTGGTGGGTGTGGAAAGCAAAAGGAAAAGTAGTTTTGAGGTAGAATAGGAAAACTGTTAGAAATAACTTTATTAAAGGTATAAAACTTAGGAGAAGAATCCACAGATGTATTTAAAACATTAAGATTTTAGTAGATGGTGTTCGGTGTTCTGAAAAGTCATTTTTATTTATTAACATCTTGAGAATAAACAGGAGGTTAATGGAAAGTTGTAACTGAATTTGGGAGAAATTTGAGTCCTACCAATTTTAGTGCATCACTATAATCACAGAATCACTAAGGTTGGAAAG